GCAGGGTCCTGCACCTGGGGAGGAACAACCCCATGCATCAGTACAGGCTTGGGGCGGACTTGCTGGAGAACAGCTCTGCGGAGAGGGACCTGGGTGTCCTGGTGGTTGACAAGTTAGCCCTGAGTCAGCAGTGTGCCCTGGTTGCCAAGAAGGCCAATGGGATCCTGGGAAGCATTAAGAGAAGTGTGGCCAGCAGGTCGAGGGAGGTTCTCCTTCCCCTCTACTCTGCTTTAGTGAGGCCCCATTTGGACTACTGCACCTGGTTCTGGGCTCTCCACTTCAAGAAAGACGAGAAACTACTGGAGAGAGTCCAGTGGAGGGCTACGAGGATGATGAGGGGACTGGAGCATCTCTCCTACGAGAAAAGGCTGAGGGAGCTGGGTTCGTCTAGCCTGAAGAAGGGAAGACTGAGAGGGGATCTTGAAAATACTTACAAATATCTTAATGGTAGGTGTCAAGAGGATGTGGCCAGATGCTTCTCATTGGTGCCAGAAAGAGCACAAGGGACAAGGGGCACAAACTGAAGCACAGGAAATTCCTTCTGAACATGAGGGGGATTGGTGGGGGACACAAGACGTGGTACCGCAAGTTCGACTTCCAGTGGCTGCTCTATGAGGAGGGGGCCCTGTCACAGCCCTTCACTGAGAAGGCCATCAATGTCCGATACAGCCCTTGCGGGTTGGCTGACATTGCACTGGTGGCCAGAGACAACCGTGAGTGCTGGATCATTGCCATGGAGAACATGCAACTGGGGGACATCATCAAGACCTCCACTCACATGGGCACGATGGCAGTGTCAGCCAACGAAGGGGACACCTACCCGCTCGGGGGTCTGCTTGTTAGCAAGATGATCCACAACCTGGAGAGCCACCCTGGGAAGGCAGCGCTGTACATCCAGGTGGCTGGGACTTGTGGGGTGCTGCTGAGGAAAGTGAACAGGATGGCCATAGTGCAGCTGCCTTCCAAGTGGCATATGCAGGTGCTGGAGACCTGCATGGCCACGGTGGGCCACGTGTCCAATGTTGACCACAACAAGAGGTTGATCAGGAAGACAGGCTGGAATCGCTGGCTGGGCAAACATCCTCACACAGGGTTGTGGTACTGCAAGGGTGTCTGGGCCAGGCACAAGATCAAGCCTTTCCTGCCCATGAAGAACTCGGTCAACCTGATGAAGGTTGCAGCGCAGGAATGATGCCAGAGGCCAATAAAGCGTTCTTCAAAAATTTTCAGTTTTGGGCCCCTCACTACAAGAAGGACCTTGAGGTGCTGGACATGTTCAGAAAAGGGCAACAAAGCTGGTGAAGGGTCCAGAGAACAACTCTTACAAGAGGTGGCTGAGAGAGCTGTGGCTGTTTAGTCTGGAGAAGAGGAGGCTGAGGGGGACCTTATCACTCTCTACAATTACCTGAAAGGAGGCTGTAGTGAGGCAGGTGCTGGTCTCTTCTCCCAGGTAACCAGTGATAGGACGAGAGGCAACGGCCTCAAGCGGCATTAGGGGAGGTTCAGATTAGATATTAGGCAAAATTTCTTCACTGCAGCAGTGGTCAGGCATTGGAACAGGCTGCCCAGGGAGGTGGTGGAGTCAGCACCTCTGGAGGTGTTCAAGAAATGTGTGGATATTGCACTTCGGGACATGGTTTAATATGCATGGTGGTGTTGGGTTGACAGGTGGACCTGATGATCTTAGAGGTCTTTTCCAACCTTAACAATTCTATGATTGTATCATTCTATGATACTGTCCTTCCGAAATATTTGTTCCATGATGCTGTCATTAGGAACTGTTATGGTTTGGCTGTGGCCGGCAACAAAAGCGCTACGTGGCCACCCCTCCCCCCGCCAGGGTGCGGAGAAGAATGGAAAGTAACAGGCAGAAACTGGTGGGTCGGGATAAGGGCAGTTTAACAGAAAAGCAAACAAAGGGAACAGTAACAACAAAGATACAGAAAAGGGGAACACACAAAACAAAACAGATCGCACAACAGAGCCGCTCTCTCCTGGACCAGACCAGCACCACGCGCTCCCAAGCCACGAGTGAGTTCCCGCTGCCCAGCTCCCCCCCACCGGAACCCAGCATGACAGCACATGGTATGGAATACCCTGCTCTGTTTGGCCAGGTTGGGTCAGCCCCCCCCGCTGTGCATCTTCCTGGAGTCCAGTGAAAATTAACCCTGTCCTGGCCAAACCCAAGACAAGAACACAAGGCAGATGGACTTGCAGTCTTAGTTTGTACAACCATTCACACCTTTAGGTTCTTGAGAGAACAGCCTGAAAAAAACTACTGGCATTTTCTAGTTATCTGCTTGAAGTCAGAGAGACTGACTATGAGTGGGTTCTACCAAAAAAGAAAAAACCCAAACTGATGAAAAGCTATTTAATTTTGCATTTACTTGGCATTCAGCCTTTAAAATCTTGTCATATCTCTGTACATTACCAAGAAAATATTGGTTAAATGTTTTAACTTTCTGCAGTCTGAGCGGGAGAGGGTAACATGCGTGACATTTTTGAGCTAATACCATGCTAAATATGGACTGAAATTTGACTGAGCTCTAGCTGCGTGCACACTTGCCTGGAAGTGGATGTTGTTGTAATCCTTGAGTCCTAGTCCTCCAGCTATTTGCGCTGGAATTCCTTGGACATATGTTGAATTTTCTATCTGGCCTATACCAGGCTTTCTGCCCCATGAAATGCAGGAGGGACAGACAGGTGGAGCAGCAGCTGGTGCACACTTTCTCCAGCACAGAACTAGGAAATGGCTGATGTGAGTCCGCTGAATGAGGACGTGGGATGTTTTGCTGGATGTTCTCAGCTAGGTGAAGTCCAGGCAAGGCACTGAGCAAGGGCCTTCACAGAGCTGCTTACCAAGAAGCTGTCCATGTGCTTTTGACTGCAGAAAGAGGCTGTTGAGCTAACAGCCTCTGTAGATCTTTATCTCAGGGCCAAGGTGAAGTGACTGAATGGGAGCCTGAGGAAAGCTATGAGGGGGTGGCAGAATCCATCACCAGCTCTTTTGCTCCTGAGATGGGCTTGATTCAGGACTGTGGCCTTTTCTTAGGTTAATAGCACCATAATGGTAGAAGGTATAAGCACTTGTTTTCTGTGTCTCGTTTATCCTGTCTGCTGTAAAACCGAGCACGAACTACACTGGAAACACCGCTTAGATTCATGGTAGTAAAGGCATTGTGTTGTTATACAACACAGGGGCTTGTGCAATCTCAGTTTGTAAGAAGAAGAATAGAAGGATTATAATTCTGTTAACTTGATCCTGGATCCAATCAAAGGTACAGATCTTTATTCAAATTTGCATTTGTTGAGTTTTGGGGTTTTTTTTAATTATATCTGAGTTTGTTGACCAGTATGATGAACAGCCCTTATGGCAGTATTACTTGGATGTTACAACAATGTGTTTTCTAGAAATGTGTTTTATTACACATTCCTGAAACTAGTATCTTTCCCTGCACCTACTCTCCTAATTGCGGTTCTGGAGCTTTATCGTGTGCAGTAATTAACACTGGACAGTGATCGTTGTACAGGGGTCTCATAAACTATTTATTTATGCATTTTTTTAAATGTGTCATGATGAAAATGACCAAGTAGCGAACAACCTTGGGTGGACAACATGCACAGCTGCTGCTAACAATAAACAACAGGACTATATCTGTAACTCATAATACACTCATTCTAATGGGAACTTTTCACGATCTATTCAACTGACTGAATGGCAAAGATATAGCCCCTTAAAAATTCTAAATTAAAGGATGTGATACTGGAGAAGGAACCATTAAGTAACAGCACAGTTTCTTTCATCCGTGCCCAGTACCATAATACCTGACAATTGTATCTGATGCTTTTACACATTCATTCTCTCAATGGACCTGTGAGACATGACATGCTGCTATCCCAGTGGGATAGTGGTTTCACTGGTGGGCTGCCCAAGACCAAACACCAAAGCCTTGGCTGAGCTGTTTGGGTCCTTACTAGTCTGCCAAGTAGTGACCCAGCCTTCCTCTTCACCCCAACATGTACAAGATCATGATCAAGATGAATGTTTCATCTCTGTTTTTCAGAGGTTGAACCTTTGTTCAACATAAGCATAAGAATATTTGTGTCTAAGAAAATACCCGATGGAGAATTCAGCAGAATCCCAACAAGGAGAGCTCTACATGCAGGTGCTGAAGATGGAACAAGTTGAAGGTCAGGTCATTATTTTGTTTCCTTTTCCTTACTTTAGTGCTAGCCGACTTGCTGCCTACAGTAATTTTGCCTGCTAAAGATTTGCTGCTGCCTCTGGCTGCTACTTACGCATGCTGAGTAGCTCCAGAAGCTTCCTCACACCTGTGTCTGTGAAGGACTGTTGAAGCAGCTGGACAGATTTTTCAGAGTTCTGATTTCAGAGCTACTTAAACCACCCTTTTGGTTTATAAAACAGAGCTATAAAACAGAGCTGTATGCAGCGTGAGAACAAACCTCTTCTGTGATTTTTTTTTCCCATTTCTGCTACTAATAATGGCTAGAAGAAAATGTAGAGAAATGTTTCTCTTGGTCACACGTGCTTCTAATCATGTCTAAAACCTGAAATTTAAAATACATAAAACATGGGAGCAAGGGGATAATGGGAAAGCTTTGCAAATGATTGGATCTCTGTTGAAAGACATGGATGAAATTTCACTCAACTTAGGTAGCTAAACAAAGAGGGCTCAGTGGATCAGGTGAGCATGTGTATTTTGAAGCAAGAAAAAAGATTTTACAGTAATGGGAGCAGCTGAAGATGCAGCTAGGCCCTATGGATTTTCTGGAGATTTTCCAGACTATTTAGATATATAATCCCGTTGACTTCAGTAGTACCCTCCTGGGCACTTCTTGCATCTGGAGTAACCTTGTTGATTTTAGCTTGGGTTTCTTATTTTCAAAAAACCCTACACACTAAAATGGTGCAAATTACACATTAAATGTTTCTCAGCTCCTGCACAAGTGTTAGAGAAGCAAAGACCTTTCCATTAGATGTTAGAAAAAGTAGCCTTCTGCAACTTTTGAGTTGCTGGGAGCACATTTTTGTTAGATAGGTGTATCTACATTATAAGGTCATCTTTGCGCATTCAAAATGGTGTGCTCCTTCTCATTCCTAAGGTGCAGAGAAGCTTTTAGACTTTGAGAACAGCAGTAAAAACCCTTCTCTTTGATCAATGCTTCTTATTAGGTAAAGGAGCAAGTCCTTCAAAAGCAGAAAATTCAGAAGCAAAAAACGGTAAGCCTGCTTCTCCCCCTGCCAGTCGCCTCTGTGAATAAACCATTAAATGAATTCTGTCTGGTAGCGCAAAATTGTATCCGTTGTTTTTATCTTTTTATGAAATTTTTCACAAGCTCTTTTAAGGCTGCCATTTTGAGTAACGTTCTGCTTTTCTGGCTAGAATCTGACAAATGTCTGTGAAATATATAAAGGCTGGCAATTAGCAAGTGACAAAACACAGGTAAGGATGTTTTGACACTATTTCTATGATTTTGCCATGTGGGACCCTCTCCATGTAGTATTTGTTTAAAAAAGTTGGGACGATGAGTCTGCGAGAATTTAGTTTTACAAACCAATGCTAACAGGGATTATTCTACTTTATAGGTCAAAAATAACTGCAGCCTTTCTTTGTTCCTTGTTTAAGTATTTGATTGGCATAACTTCTTTAACAGAAGCTTTTACTAGCTTGTCATAGCTTTGCTATTAGAGCTTTTCTCTTTTTTGATTTGCATTGTCATCCTCTGAATGTTTGGAAGGTGTAAATGGGATATGAGCTACCTGTTCATTTTTGTTGTTGGATGTTTACTATTTTTCTCTGTGTCTTTTGGACAAAACCTTCTCGAACCCTTGTGTAAGAACATGCTAGTACTTCAGCCTAAGTTTTATGTTCATTAGATGACCATATCTGTTGCATTAAAAGTTTCTAAACACCCTTTTAGCCAGTTTTTTTCCTAGTTTTTCCTTTTATGATCTATATTTCAGTTCAAATAGAATACCACTTTGTCAAAAAAAACTCAACTTTTTTGTGATCTGTACCTCAGCATACATTTTCAGTCACTATGTTTCATTTAGTTTAGTTTAATTTTGTTTTGTTTCCTTTTTTTTCTTTTCTGTCTTTTGATTGACTTAGCAGCACTACATGCCTTAGTTTACTCAGGGTTGAATTGTGGGACTGAGCACATGGAAAC